AAAAATATCGAATAACAAGTAGCTTAAATATAACGTTTTTTAGAGGTAAAATAAGACAAGATGATGTGCATCATGACTAGCTTAGCATTACTATGCCTTATTTTACAACTAAAAACATAATATTCCAGCTATTATTTATTCGGTATTTTTGAACTTAAGGTATTTTGATAGAATATTTGATTTCAATTTAATTTCATAAATTTGGCCATTCTTTAGCTAGCTATTAACGTTATATAAATTAAAATTACAATTTTAGAATATTTTAGTACACCAACATGATTTTTCTAACATCGGTCTCTTTAAGTTTCATAAAGATCAGTTGGAAATATTCAAATACAAAATGTTTACTATGAAAAACAAAATGGTGGATGTCTGGGTAAATAAGCATTTTTGTGGGCATACCTTAATATGGACTGTTTTCTTTCTTTTTGTATGAAAAAAAATTTCTTGAATTCCTTCGTATTCATGGCCCTGTATATTGAAACGTGAAGGGGTTTTGCCAAAGATTTAATTATCAACCATCTCGACAGACATGCGTGATTCTAATTTTGATCAAAAGATAATTTTTAAGATAAAGGAAAATTTAAGACTTTAACTTTAACATTTTGTTTCAGTATTTTAGAAGATAAATTATATTTTTAAGCCCAGCAGACGACTCTTACATTTTAAATTCGTTTTTGTTACAATACCATTTTGTTTAAAAAACGCTTTTAATTGGTTAAGATTCTTAATGGACCAGTAATTTACTTAAACGATAAACAAACATTAGTCTATTAAATAATGTGATTTAACATAATTCTTTGAGTGAAAATATTTTTGATGACGATAATACAAATCATTGTCAAATGGTACAACATACCGTTTAGTATAATAGCAGTTTTAATAGGCAAACGTACAAATGATAGTGTTAACTATTAAGGTATTTTATGATTTTGACGGGACTCCGTATTCCAACACTGAATTTTCCTGCCGTTGCAAAGCACGGGTACAGCAACAAATATTTAAAACAGTTGCAGCTTTATTGTAGTTGTAAAATACGTCTGGTAATTAACTGGCAACTCTTAATGTTTCAACAAATCATATTCTGGTTGGTTTCGTGACCTACATTTCTAGTTACTTTTGGCTACATAAACAACACCCAATTCGTTGAAACAATAATAACTACTGTCTGCACGCTTTCCTCATATTTTAAAACATAGCTAATATTTAATTTTAGAAAAAAAGATCAACCACAGGTAAACAAAATTTCTTGCAAGATTATGGTTGTTTTTGATAAAAGTATGATGTTTATACAGATAAAGTATACATTATAATAATGACCATTTCTCGCGCTTGAACTGTAAAACAAGTAAATATTCTATTTAATTGTGTTGATACAGTATGCGTATAAAAACTAACACTCATTGAAAAAGACACTAAGTAAATTAGTTTAATTTTAATTTTAATTTATTAAATTAATTTAGCAAATAATAATAATTTAAATAAGTAATATTTGTAATACATTTTAAACACATTTTAAATTAAATTGGATTTAAATTTAATTTTGTCATTGAAAATGCTAGAAAGGATTGATTTATATAAAATATTTACCTATATTATATTGTAGCTACATTTACAAATTAAAAGAAGTGTTATACAGAAACTATATTTTTATATGGTCAAAATACAAACGTAGATTTTTAAATAATAATTTGTATACAAGGATTGCAACAGAAACACACTTACTCGCCCTCAAAATAATCAAAAATCGTGATCAATATTTAAATTCCTGTATAATTTTAATCTATGTTTAAACTCATCGGCTACGATTTGCCACACTGTTGGTAATTCAAGGTAATTTGGGATACAATTGTTTATAGAATACGAATTAATGGATTCCAGACAAATATAGAATATATTAATACAAATGATCTGAAGACTACAAAGGCAACACACGTGATGTTCAGGAGAGAAGTTCAAAGGCAGTTCTAATTAATATGGAGAAACTTGATAACATTCTTTGTACTGTAATTAGAAGGCGTTTCAAATTGTACTGACAAATTGAAGGGGATTTATTTTACCTGTGCTGGGTATTTTAAGGAATTTTTATTTTGCTTGTGCTGGTAATTTGGAAATATGTTAATTTGCTATTGCTAGCAAATTTATTGTTTTTTTAGCGAATTTACTTCTAAGGAAATAGGAATTACCGTAGGTTGCATGGTAACGTAATGCAATTCTGATCATGCAAATAAGCAGCTGTTTGGGTAGTGATTCAATCATTTCGTCTATTACGATTGTATCACGGTACATCAAACCATCGATATGTCGAAAAACCGACAACAATAGGCTAAAAGCTCACATAATAAATCAATCTATAAATAGTTTCGATCGATACGACTGCCACAATCGAAATTTACTACTGTTTACAACAGCTGATTAGTACTCCCTATAGACTAAAAATGATTTTTGCTCCCTAGAAAATAAAAATACTACTTTAGACCCGAAACGCATGAATTAAAAACGACTGTTTTTGCTGGAGTATGAAGAAAATTATTTTTATTATTACATGTGATTTTTATTTGCTTAGAGACTTGATAACCCTAAATTTTCGATATTTTTTTTAATTAAAAAATTTTATTTTGTGAACCCTTTCGTTAAAAGTAACCAAAAGTAGCAATTCATTTTACACCATCTGCATCTCATAATGATTAACACATTCCCAGGTTTTGTCCCATTCATGTACATGGCCGTGTTGGTAGGGTTGGGGGATGGGGGGGGGGGTTGATTGATTATAACCTTGCTCATTAGCGTAGACCTCTCATCACCCCTTACCACTTCCTGTCATCCATATTACCCCACAACTTTCACGGTGATTCCATTCAATGTAAGGTCATACCCTGGCTAATTACTTCGACAAACTTTTCCATCAAGAAATTCTCAAGTTGAGATTAGTTAAGTCGTTAAAGAGTTATTGATTAGCATTCACTCGGATATTAGTGAAACGTTTTGGATTAAAGAAATTTATTGTGCAATTGAAATATTACCGAATTATGAAGCATCAATACAGGGAAGTTTGGTAAAATGGTTTTTGAGTATACGTAAGAAGTTCAGTAAAATGATTGCTAATTTTCTAAATCATTTCGAACTAATTGTTACGAACTCAAAAGACCTGAAAAGATTATTATTATTCAATAACTGTTTTAATTTCCTAAATATTTGACATATCTTTGTCTGAAATATCTTTCTTGAAGGAATTATTTTGTTCGCTAACTTCATAGAGAGTCATAAGATATACAGCTTAAGGATTCACCTGCACATTCTGTAAATAAATAATTGTTCTTTCCATGATAAAATCTTAACATTTTTCATTCTGTTGGTCATCAAAAGAGAAAAACCATAGTAGACTAAATGTTACCAGTAATAGCTATTTACCTTACAAGTGTAGTAAGAGTGTTTTTACATCACGCAGGTGAATGTTGTGCAACGAGTGGAAGCGAGTTGCATAATTGACCTAAGTGATGTAAACACGCTCTTGCGTAACGTGTAACGTACAAGATTTTACCTGACCCGAAAATATACAGGAAGTCATGAACAATATTTTTCATTATCCATTTCACTCATCTTCTAACAGTAACGTTAATTTACAAACAAAAGCTAGGTTAGGAAAATTCTTCAAAACATAACAACATAAAATTCAAGCGCACAGCTGATTTCTAGCGTTGAACGTCGTTTGCTCCATAGAGGTATATTTTTTAAGTTAATCACTTAATGTTATTTAAATGGGTTTCATTACCTCACCGAGTGAGTTTTTTTCAACTTTACATCACTCGAGAAGTAAAGAAGTTGTATACATCACGCTTGGGATAGGGAAGTTTAACATGGCGGGTTAGGTAATAGCTATTTACCTTACAAGTGTAGTAAGAGCGTTTTTACATCACGCAGGTGAAGATTGTGCAACAAGCAGAAGCGAGTTGCATAATTTACCTAAGTGATGTAAACAACGCTCTTGCGTAACGTGTAACGTACAAGATTTTGCCTGACCCGACAATATACAGGAGGTTACGAACAATATTAATAATTATCCATTTCACTCATCTTCTAACAGTAACGTTCATTTACAAACAAAAGCTAAGTTAGAAAAATTCTTCAAAACATAACAATAAAATTCAAGAGCACAGCTGATTTCTAGCGTTGAACGTCCTTTGCTCCATAGAGGTATATTTTTTAAGTTAATCACTCAATGTTATTTAAATGGGTTTCATTACATCACCGAGTGAGTTTTTGATACTTTACATCACTCGAGAAGTAAGGAAGTTGTATACATCACGCTTGGGATAGGGAAGTTTAACATGGCGGGTTAGGTAAAATATTATAACTCACCAAACCGTCAATCCGCTCTAAATGGTGAGCATGTGGAGGTTAGTTATAGTAGTTTCAACACCACTGTTTCGAAACATATACTAACATAAAAATGCTAACCATTTAGAGCTTGTTGGTTTAGTGAGTAAAACATTACCATAAGCTTTATCGGCTGAACCATGGAGTATACTAGATTATCATAGAAATGATACAGAACGTAAAGAAAAAAGTTTATTGTAATTGCTCAGAAACTGTAAATATTTCATTTTTAGATGTAAAGTAAATGGCTGTGAGTTTACACAGTTACACGTTCCCGTGGAGTACTTTTTTCTGGCATCTCAGTCCAAGAACGACACAATTGCATTTTATGTAATTTCTTGGCTTAGAAGTGTGCAAATTTAATTTGAATGGTGTATTTCCATGCTTGTTTGGTGCAACACATTTGGAATTAATGCCGAGGTATTTGGAAATCCATTTTTGTTGTTAACTCATCTACCTTAGACGTTAACCAATGCACCAGTATTGATATTCAATAGGGCGTTATGGTTTTACTTATGGATTTTACCTACTAAGTTTTTTCTCTTTATACAAATATTTCGTTGAACCAATGGTTGTTGCAAGTGCTTACAATCTATGATATTTCTCAATGTCTACAAACTCACCGCCTGGTCGACGCCACATCTCCTCTCTCGACCGCCAACAGGAACTTCTTCTCGTCGAGGGAGAGCTGCTTCATCTCCTGGTGAGGCCGGACAACGTTCTCCTCCTCCATCATTCCGTGGATGCTGTGCCTCTGTATCAACAGAAGACAAGTGTTAGAAACCAGAACCTCAGGGTCTTAATACGATAGGTCTTACTCCGTCAAATAGTCCGAAAATTACGATTACAACCTATTGTCTCAATTGCAGGAATGCAGGGGCCAGAAACATGAATCTTGATTTAGGGTATAATACATGGAACTAAAGGGTAGGAGATGGAGATGTAAGGAGAGTTGACGAACTGTGTAGTATCAATGATGAAGTATGTCTACTTGTCCAATCTACATGGACCAGTTAAACATTAATTTGTTTGAGTGGTAAGAAGTCCGTTAGGTCAGTTAATACCATTGACTGAAGGATAGTGAAGTAGACGTACCATATGGAACACCTGTCACACATTTTGTATTAAAAAGAACACAGTGGAACATAAGCCAGTCATATGCACTAGTGTCTAGAATTCACTCGATGTTGATGGGTTGTCAAATGCTATGGCTTACAATAAGTTGTTCTATCAGTTTGAATTGGTAAAAAAGTCAGCATAAGCTACTGAAAGCAGTAACGCAATCAGTTAGTGGCTCAACCTAACTACGTCCATTTTGATAAAATACTTATGGCAACCTTAACGAGGAGATGGATTGGCTTGTTGTCTCAATTAGTATGAGTTTAAAAATGTACTGTTGTATCTATAGTCAAAGGTAGTCTCATTGGCTTCTTATTTGGTATTTGGTATTATTGGTATTTGGAGAGGAGGTTTTCTTGATTTGCCCAACACTTGATCCACGAATTGTGGATATTTATAGGCATGCACTGTGGATGCGACAGTCCCAGGTGTGGATTAACGTCCCCACGGAAAGTACTACGACTTTCCGCAGTACTATCCTGATAATTAGACCAATTCGTAAATACCAAGGCAAAAATGTGGTTCGGAATCCTCTATAAACTGTTGGTCCCTTATTTTCCATGAGCTGTATGGGCTATTCAAAGAGTATCTTACTAATATTATAAATGTGAAAGTTTGTGTGTTTGCAAACTATGATATGCAAAAACTATGATATGCAATGAGAACTGTCAAAGTAGGATTGTTTACAGTTACTTTTATGTTTTTAATTTCATGAATCATTTGTGATATTTTGTGAATCTTTGATCAATTATTTTCCTCTATTGTTTAGGTAAAGTGGTAGAATATTATAGCTATGGTATATGTGTAATACTATAGTATACCGTCAATTTAAAGAAGCAAATTTTATCAAATCGTGTCCTCCCCCATTGCAAACGCAAAGCTAGAGTAACTGCAATAAGCATTTTATACTTATATGCCAATCCTGTACGAAGGACGGGTACTCTGCTAGTAAGAAGTATTCTCAACGATTCACAATGTGTATTGCTGAAAACATTGTATACAACGCTTATATAGTACGTCATTTGTTAAAGGCGTTCCGGGCGGGAGTAGCGTGTTGTATAGCATTTTCCTCTCTTATAAAATAGGTAATTCCTATACCACCCTTTCCTTCACAGTGATGATTTCCAGAATTAAATTTTCATCAATCATTACCGAAAGCAGATATTTTTGATAACAGCTGGTATCAAAGAAAGTAGTTGTTTCCCAAGCTCTAATTTAGAGCGAGGAAACCCGATTAGCTGATTTTTTTTAGAGCGAGGCTCCAAATTTACTTTCCCTCCCTCTTGATTAGTTCCCCATTTCAGCTGTTTTCATTGTTACACAATCTAAATGAATACAGAAACAGGCAATAACAAAAACTGCACTAATTCGGCTTTGCCTCACACATGAAACTAAAACGTGCGTCGGAAATGCCCCTTCCGGTCCTCGTAATGCAACATACTATTTAATTTAATTCTGGATATAACCTGTCGAAATGTCACAAAATGACAATGACATTTGGAACCAGAGTAAAATCTCACGATCACCAATGAAATTGCATTTTGATCGTTGACTCTGGCCAAACGTGTTATCTTCAAATGATGCGTTTTTGGCGATGTTGGCAGAATTGTAAACGCGTCAAAACAACATAACAACTCAGTCTGTTGTTGAGCAAGACATGGTGTTGTTTAGTTTGGCAGCCTAGCACACAGTTGTTGATAACGTTCTAGCAGTTGGCGCGGATTCCACGGTTACATCTGTATTAGCTGGTTTGTTGATGGATTAAATTTGGGGAAAAAGATATGGTCTCTATAATATAACTGCTGTAAAACTTATCATTGTTAAATTAATTAAGTGTTATTGTTTGTCAAGCAATTGACTTTTTATGTTTATCAATTTAAAAAGTTTTCTCTTTCACTCCATTCAGAAAATTGTTAAGTTGAAAAGTGTCTTAAGCCTGCAATGCTAGTTACCACAGATAGACTAGCTATTTTCTTATCGTCGGTAACAGTAATGGTCTGTAACTATTATACGAAATAGGAGATAACTAAAACGATTTGCTACAATATCAGTACTATGGCTAGAAACCAATACAAATATTGGTGGTTCGACCCCGACAGTATCTGTTGGATGGTTCAAGTCTGGTTCTGGATAAACGGATCGCTTTAGTCACGAACAGAACTAAAATTATACACATTCGCTATTTATATACATAAGATATAGGTTAATGATTCACTCATCTTTCACTCATATTCAGGTTGTCTCTGTGTCAATGTAATTATAAAATGATCATCTGAGTTAACGGTGCTTAGTCTGGGTTGTACTGTTTAGCTAACCCACGAATTTAAATTTTCCTGATTGGATTTTTATTAATATTTCCATAGAAAAGTCATATTTACTCCGCATTTTAATAACAATAGATTTGACGAGTACTTAGGTTCACTACGGGGAAGAGAAAAAGAGTTTTTTGATCAAACGAAGAATAGAATGAAATAAATAGATTTGCCAAACATCAAAATATAACCATAAGGAAGCAAACCTCAACAGTTGTCTTTTTCTCTTTAAATATTTTAAATATTAATTTTTCCAGCTTTGAATTTTTTAATTGTGCGATATACAAAATTGTTTATTTTTTAGCTTTACACAATGGCTATAACTAAAATTAAGAATTTTCATGTTTTAAGGGTAAAAGTTCTATTTGAAAATCTTTTGAACTACCATAACATCTTTTCATTACCTAATTTTGCTGGTTCATGAACTTAATTAAGTCCAAAGCTCGACACATTTATGCCAAATTTATTTTAAAACGGATACAAACTAATCTCATCTTGTTTAAGACATTTTATTCAAAAGATTATGTATACATGTAAAATTTGATTGAATAATGTTTTTTGGCCAGTGGGGAAATCACAATAAAAAAGTAAGTAGGTCCCTGATCTTTTTTCAGTGACACGTACGATAATAGCTTCTTGCCTATAGGGAAATTCGATAATAAAGTAATATAAATAACAAATTAAATAATTATACCAAGACAAATAATTGAAAACTCATTTCCTAGTCGTTTAATATAACAGTAACGTATAAGTAAGGATTATACAATAAGACAAATTAATAGTGAAACAAATATAAAAAGTAACTAGTGGCTTGTAGGGACATACGTCCCTAAAAAGCTCAAATGGAATAGAAATTATTGTAATATTTAAACGAACTCAGAATCAAATTATCTATGTGTCAGGATAGATATCCCAGTACAACATGTCTTTTGTGTAAAAAAAAAACAATTTTCTTTGTTTGCTTTTGTTGATGTAATTTTCAATAATGAATTTGAATGATTCCAGAGGTTTAACTGCTAAAGGCAGCAAACATGTTTATGAATAAATATTAGTTTATTAAGATAAAAAGGCTTCCCCGATTGAAATACAGTATTGGAAATTGTCTTCGTCAAATAGGAAAAGGCAAAAAATGGTGTTTTTAAATAAACTTATTTCTGTGTCAAAACCGCTAAATTAGCATTCCTACCCTACCCAGTTATTATTCCTAAGTCTATGCTCATTGTGTAAAGGTTTAACAAAATTAGTCTTAAGTAAAGGCATCCCATTGACAGAACTTAACCCTAAATTTGTTTCTGATCAACATTTAAAAAAACCACTATTAGTCTAGTGTGATTATATGTAATCCTCCTAAAGGTGCGATTGATTTACATATTCTACCAAAAAAAAGGCCTAATCAACGTCTAATTACTAACTATTTTGTGACTGGTTAGGGTTCCATTACCCAGTTATCGAAACTAATCACGACATAAATATTTTTGGTTAGTTTTAAGAAAGGGAAATTACCTCTATGTACTACTGTTATGTATAGGTTCTCCCTTTACTACCGTGCATGCGGAATGGGCATACGGGAGGTTTTAAAAAGTTAATTTTATAACTAAAAATTTTAAAATTAACTTAATTTAAATTTATTAACTTAACGGTTCTAGCGGCGAACGCTGACACTATGTTAGCCATCGTCCCTCCCGTGTGCCCCACCGCCGTGCATGCTAGGCTATATTTTTTGAACCTTTTTTGCTTGGAGCAACAAAGCACTTAAGTACTTAATGAACAGATAACTGTACGAATCTACTTAATCTTTATTCCCAAATTATTTTCTAAGAGTAAACGTTGAGGTTATTCCACTTCATACAAAATATTGATTAAACACTACAATAAACCTCAAATATAAATGTTAGTAAATTTACAAAAAAGTGTGGAATAAATCTTTAACGTATATTTGAAATCAAAACAAAAAGAAGATCTTCATTTAATCTGGAATTGTTTCATTAATCTTGAAAACAATTTATTTCAACTTTGACATAACTAAAAAGTCTTGATTATTATGGGTAACGTTATCCCTTTATATAGTTGGTTTTATATAGTATACATTACATTGCAGAATTGACTGGCAAATGAGTAATCCAAATGTAATATTGCTTAGTTTCTTAATGATAAATCACGATCAGCTGTATTGTAGTAAACAAAAATCAGCAGTAAATAAATGGCTTCAAATGCTATTCTTATGTAGAACATTTTACGTTATATCTCGTTTTCTGGTAACTTTATGGGAATTTCACTATTTTTCCCGCCATCACGGGATAGAGACCTTTAATTTGAGCCCTAT